ATTAAGAGAGCAGCATGTGACCGTGACACATTTACTGGATTGCAAAATAATCTAAAACCACTAAATCCTTTAATAATGATGAGTCTGCAAACACAAAGTTCCACATAAAACAGACAGTTATATATCCATAGTTCAGGGAGGGGTTGGCAAACTTTTCCTACAGAGGCTAAAGTGGTAAATATTTTAGTCTTTGTGGGTTCTCTGAGCTCTGCGACATCACCTCCTCTCCGCCTCTTTAGCACAAAGCAGTCACAGAAGTAAATCAGGTGAGTGAAACTTTGTAAAGAAGACATGTTATACTCGGATCATGGGCTACAGCCGGCCAACTCTCTTGTAGGGACCACACAGGCATGTTCAAACATGCGAGCATGTGTGTACAGGCAAGGGAGACTGCTATATAGGAGTCAGCACATGACAAAATCCCTGTTGATTGTCCGCTCAGCCTTTCAGGCTTCATGGGCTTGTGATCAGCGTAGTCACTGAGGTTAGGGGGCTCTGGGCCTGCAGTTAAATGCTCTTGGACCATGTCTTAAGATTCTTAATGATGAAGTATTGGAATTTGTGTTTGGTACGTTAAATCTGATAGCAGAATAGAGCCCTGGCTGACACCTGTGGTCTGTTTCCCTACTTCCCATGCATCAGGGGGGCAGTGCTCAGTATGTATTGCTCTCCAGCTACTTCTTGCCAGACTGGACTTGGGTGGGCTTGTCTGGCAGCATGAGACAGAGGCATGTGTTCTGCTACTGTCTCCTGTCCCCAGCAGGAGCTTGAGTATAACCTCTGTGTTTGGTTGAGTGTGAACTTTTCTCGGTTCTCAGGGTCAGTCACAATGAGCACCATCCTTGCCTTGGCTGACAGCACCACAGCAAACTCAGTGGCCTCAATGTGGTGCTGCAGCTCACCCTGAACCAGTGACACAGTGTGCCTCCTTGTGCAGACAGCAATCTCTAGAAAGTTGCTCCTCTGACCACCTTCACATAAAGAAGATTGATTCCCTCTTCTGTCCAGTAGGCCCTGAGTGTAGGTCCTGTGGTCAGTGGCAGGGAGAACCTATTAGGAGGAAAGGCTGTCCTGCAGGAACTCTACAGATACAGGATTTGTGGACTTCACCCCCACCCTGATAGGGGAACTACAACTCCCAGATCACCAGAAATGATTGCTAGGGCACAAGGGTAGAATAAACAGCCATGTTGTCTGTCTGTATAGAAGACCAGACATTTTGGGCTTTGGGGGTCTTTTGGCCTCATGGCTTGCAGCTGAGTTCTTGGTTTTTCACCAGCTCTCAGTGAGTTCTTGGGGTTCTAGTTCAGTGGAACTGGTAGGACATATTAGCAAACCTCTCTCTCTTCCCCTGAGTTACTCAATTCCCTTTCCCTTGTAAATACAACCCATTAGTGACCTTTCTGTGTGTGCCTGCAGTTAAATCTTATTAGTCCTCTTAAGTGAGGACCCACAGTCAGGACCCCCAATTCACAGTGGGGTTGCCCTGTAATAAGCCCAGAGGTCAAAGGCCATGCACACAACCAGTCATAGGGACCAGCAGGCCTGTGCTGGAGGGTCCTGAGCATGAACAGCATGATATCGTGAAACAGAGCTCGCAGAAACAGGGAACTATTTTATAAGAGCATTTTTTAAGGGTGACGTCACTTTTTCCTGCTTTTTGAACAAAGGACCCTGTATTTTCATTTTGCACTGATTAGAATGGTACCGAGTTAGGTTCTATAAAAGAAATCATCTTCTGAAAATCCTTTACCAAAAGTTGACCAAAAAAATTCCAAACAAGTGCCACTTACTTCAAAGTCAGCAACCTTTGTAAATCCAGGGCAATAACTAGGACTAGTGAAGTATTCCTAAATCTTCAATGTCAGGTTCTGAAATTATCTGAGTTTCCGCTCTAAGGAGCTCTGTTCAGAATATGATTGTGGTGACTGCCTGGCAACCATTTACCTCAAATAGTTTGAGGTACAAGATTAATAAATATGTTTTAGAGTGATGCCATGGCATCTTATAAATAGAAAGCATAACCAAAACATTATACATAAGATTTAATAAGACAAAGAAATTTGAAAATTTTTAAGGTGTCCTTTATTTCCTATTAAGGAAGGTAATACTGTGATATTTTAACATATAAAAACATATATACTTGTTTTCCTGATTCATATAGAGCAACTTTAAAGCAAACACTGATGAGAAGGCCAAAGAAATATGAGTATGGGCTGGACGTTACATGAGATAGTGAGCTATTACCAATACTGTCAGGTCTAATAATGACATGGTAGTTATGAAAAAATACCTTCTTAGATGCACACTGAAGTATTTATGGGTGACAAACAATGTCAGCGGTATGCTTTAAATACTTCAGTCAAAGAGTACATGGAGGAACAAGACAGAAGAGTTGAAAGGGAAGACAAAGAAAATGGAGAAGAAAAAGGTGATGACAAAGAAAACAAAAATGATGACTAAGATGAAGATGACAAGTAACAATAAAGAAGAGAAAAACTGTGATACAGAAGAATAGAAGTAGTGAAGTGACGAAACTGCTGGAAATGTAGGAATTCATTATAATATTCTCTTTATGCTTATATGTATTTCAAATTCCCATAATTGTGTGGCATGTGTTTGTGCATGTAGATTTGTGGTCTACGAAAACTTTGTAGTAAAAATCAGGGTACAGATTTTTCATTCTCCTCCATACTAAATTTTCTGTTTTGTTTGTTTTGATACAAGAAGTACCCTCTGAGGCTGACAGGAGTCTTCTAAACAGAAGGGATATAAATGAATTGATGGGAAGATAATCCTACCAGGATAGGAAAAAGAAAGAGAAAGCAGGTAGAAGTCACTGCCATTATTATGTTTCCAACATTTTCTTCTAATTACGTCAGAGTCAAGCTTGAGTCACAAGGAAAATAATTTTGGTTCCCAACCACTTGCCCTATTTTGTATACATCAAAGAGGCTCTTATTTTCTCCACACTTCTAATCTCAGTCTCCCATGTACTTACAAATTAACAAAAATGCAAACAAAAAAAAATGACTATATTACAAGGAATACATTGCTAGAGACAGCCTTCTTATTCTGAACTGCATAACATTTTAAAAGTTGTATGTGCTACATATTTTGTAGGTATCTCAAATTCCCAGCTTTTTAAAGATGAATGTCTGTTTCTTTCAAGTATACATGGTGGCCTAGCAAAGTAACTCCGCAATCTTACAGACAGAAGGTCAGGTCATGGTTGAAAGACCAAAGAACAATTGCTGCTTTGCTACAGCAGATCACCCATGCAATGAGACACCATTGATGACCTATAAGATTTCCTTACTTTCCCCTCAGGTTCTGCCCAAGAAAAAATAGTAACAAGGATATCACATCATGAACATCTTGTAACTGTTCAGAAGTCTTATGTCTAGCTCTGGGACCTCCTCAAGGCACATCTCTAATCTAAAAACATCAAAAATCACTGTGAAAACTTGATGTTTCACTAGCAGGAATGTTTACACATGGAAACTCCTTTTTAAGATACTGCAACTTTAGTCTTCTAACTTATTACTTACTTTAGTCTTATTACTCCTATAATGCTTTTTATTCTCCAGAACATTATAATGTAATTTTAAGTAAGTCAGGGATGTTCCTTGCTATGTTATTTATTTATTTTTTTAGTTAATCCAAAATATTATGTTGGTAGATGCTACAAAATAGTATAAAGTATAATAGTAGATAGTATATGGTAATACTAGTGAGCATGTCAATATCATAGGAGTTTACAACGTCATAATATAAAAAGAAAGGAAAGTTCAGGGTTTGCTTTGGTAGTACTAGACTTTCGGTCCCTGATAGAAAGAATTGTCAATTCTACTATCAGGCACGCCCCCAACTGGATGGAATAAAATAGTTACATTATTTGTACAAGTTAATGAAAATATTCTGAAAATTTGAAACTCATTTTAACACTTTAAATACAATGGTACACAAGCAGAACTTGATTAGGGTTGTTTCAGATTTTAGTTTACTGCTAAGCATTTCATTTATGACTAAAGACATGTTTATACAAAACCTATTACTTTCATTTTCAGTAGGTTTCTCAATTATCTGCATAATTTGCATAGAGAAGTGATTTGGTTGAAAGGGAAAATACGTCAGAAAATACAATGTAAAGCTTTGAACTAGAAACATAGTTGCAGAAAACTTCTAGATACCTACATTTTAAAATGGTAGTGACTTCTCTAAAATACTGAAATGCAGAAAGGTCTTATTTCAATTAAATAGACTTGTCAACCTGTTTTCTTTGAAAATAAAAAAGAACGGCCTTCAATGTTCTGTATTATAACATAAAAATAGAAAATCTAAAGTCAGCCTATTAGAACTGTCTCTCTGAAAACTTTATCCATAGTGCTAATTAAAATTGGAGTGTCTACATGAACTCAACAAACATACAACATAAAACATCTGTTCAAACTGAAATTGAAGTAAGCTGCATTTCCCACCCTTAGCATTTCTAATTTCACTGTACTTAGGCTCCCTAAGGAAACGTATTCATGGTTATCATCGTTAAAACTGGTTTCATTCTGCCAACAATCAATTTGATTGACGTATTTACATATCAACTCATCTCATCTTACAAATTCTAAACCTTTTTATTTAAAATTGGAATCCAGTTGGCATCTTTCAAGAACTTTATGCACGTATATTTTAGGTTCAAACTGTGCATTAGAACATGTTTTTTACTTTTGTAAGTAATAGATACACATATCCAAATGTATATTTATGACCTGTCATATTGGAATTTTATATGCATGCAGTTGTATTCTCACCATTTCTTATGAAAGGTGATAATTTTCGGCAACTATAAATGAAATTCTTTTAATAGAATAAACTGGATAGTTCCATTAGTTAAAAACAAAATAATAGAAATAAATGACTTAGGAACAAAACCACATCAACTTTAGAAAGAACGTTAAGTTTTTGTCTTGAACGGCTGTAGTCACACTTGTGCCATCTCTTACCTGATCTTTCATTTCGAGATTCCTTTTAGTTTTTGATCTGTAATCTCTGTGCTCCTTTTCTGCCTCATCCTTCTCCAATTTGGTTTTATTCAATTGATAGCGCATTTCCCCACACACCTGTTAGAATATAAAACAAGATCAATAGCTGCTAGAATGTAGCAGACAAAGCCCGCAATTAAATCTTTCAGTGCCCCCTAGAGGCCTTATGGATAAAATACAAGATCACTTTCTTAGGTGACATTGTCTATTAGCTTAGCCAACACATTCTGTTAAAGAGGTGCAGCAATATCAGGGACCAATGTAACTAACTGTTAAAAACTGAAGATAAAGAAGTAGCTAGTTAATAAAACTGAAGTATGTAGTAAAGATTTTAATATAAACGAATAATTTCTATTGTATATTATCACCAAAAAGCACTATCATCCCAAGTGTAACTAGCTAAAATTATTAAAGTATTATTATTTATTAAAGTTGGTATGTTTCAATAATGTTCTACATCATAAAACTTTCCTTTAAAGACTTTATCAGTTAGACTTTTATTTAAGAAAACAAAGGCATTTTTCTTTCTGCTAGTAGACTATATTATTGATATTTAGGCATACAGGAGTAAACAGTATTTACTATAAGACTTGTAAACCGTATCAAACTTAGCATGCAAAATAATATATATTCCAGATTAAGAAGAGTGTTTGGAAAAAGTCATTGACAGGAGCAAGACACACTGCATTTACATTGAAGCATTTAACATAAATGGGCGATATACATCAAAGTAAAATGATTTTAATGTACAATCAGTATACACATGTTGTAGCTTAAAAGAGGGGTGTTTCATCTTTTACCCAATTTATTTTTCAATTCAGACACATATATTTTAAAACAAATGATCAGATAAAATTATATAAAAAAGAAACGACGAGTCATTGAAATAACTGAGAATTTACAGAGATCTTATCTGAGATTCTGAGAATCTCTAGAGAGAATTCTGCTCAATTACTTTCTAATATACAAGCACAAATTTTTGTAAATCATAAGTCCAATGGTTATACTTGCTTTAAAATTTAACTTTGGTATTTCAGAAAAATCATGATTACAACTTTATAAATCAATGTTATATTATTAAGGAACTAGAACCTTCTCAGCAGATACACATATCCTATGTTTAAATAAAAACACTTTGAAAAATAAGCTAATCTGGGTTCAAAACTTACAGTGAAAACAAAAAAGTCAATAAACTTCTTTCTCTCCAGTGGTCTTCAGAAACCCATTAAAAACAAATATTACCAAAACTTCTATTTGAAATTCAAATGCCTCAATGTGTGAATTAAGTGTACCAATCTAAAAAATAAACCAATTAAAAATTTAATTTTAAAGTTAACTAAAATGTAAAAATTAAGAGTAATAGAAAAAACTAGAAGGGCACTAGTTAACTTTCTTAGTTCTTCACTACCTAATCTATGATTTACACATATGCATGAGTGAAAAAAATCCAATTGATAATATCAAAAATACTAATTACACAGCCACGGTATTTACAAGCCATCATCAGCACATTATTATATGTAATGATGTCTAAGCGGTAGGTTATAGTAAAAATTATTTTATCATTAATTTTATTTTTAATGTTCCTTTACCTTACTACTTTCAGATTAGATTTACTAAATTTATTCATAAGATTAAACTTCATCTAAAATTACTCGACAAACTGGAATATGCTATTCAGAATTAAAAGTAACCTCATCACTCCTCTGACAACTGATTCATTTTGGGCAGTTTAAAAAACCTGAATACTCATTTCAATAGAAAGTTCTTTTCCTTTTAAAGAAAAAACACTCTCACCAAGAACTTTCACCCATTAGCTTGGGTTAACCATTTCCAGCCCTCTGCATCAGTTCTTCTAACTTCTACCTGCACACAAATATATTACCTGTATTGGCAAATAGGATATTTTTAAACTGCTACCTTAGCTAACTTGAATTTTAAAAAGCAAAGGGAAAGTTGTAGTGAAGGCCAAAAAAAAAAAAAAACAAGGTACCTTACCTTAAACATAAAGTTAATCTTAATTAATGGATTATAAAACAACAATAATATTGTTTAAAATGCATACCCTTTTCATATTTCATGTTTAGTAACATTACCTGTCCATGTATTGGCTAAACATAGTCGATTTATTTCATCATGTATGCCCATATTTAGTTTTTCTGTTGTTTTGAAGCAATTGCTGTAGTGGTGGGTATTTTGTGGTGACATGAATCTTAAGAGGTGTGAATTTATACCCTTAAATCACAAAAAGTGTTGTAAACCAATGTTACCTCAATAAAAAAGGCACAATTTAAAAAAGCAATTACTCAAATCTATGAGCTTCTAGTAAATGTGTACCTTACTTAGCCAAGATCATTGTAGCTGATGGTTCGCAAGTTTGTGACACCCATGGAGATGGCAACGTAGCATTTAAAATATGAATTTCAAGGGCCAAAAAAATAAGAAGTTGTAGTATAGAGAATCCTGGACTAGCTACAAGGTGTACAAAGACTTGGAAGGATTTTTTATAGCAAGCATACTTTTAACATTGTGAATATGTATCTTTTTATATTTTTATATTCTTGTGAAAACAAGAAAATACTCTTAGTAGATTTAGAAATGCAAGTTTTACCACCATTAGGTAATTAATAGACCTTACCTGCAAGTCTCAATCACTTAACCCTTAATCTCTTCGAGGACATAATGTGTGCCTGATTCATCCCTGTATCTGGAGCGCCCTGTAAAGGGCCTGTACATTATTTACTGAAAGACCGTTAAGCAGACTTCTGTGATCTTGAAATAATCAAACTTTTCTACCCCAACTTCTTTCTGAGCACTACATGAGCAAAAATTTTTTCAGACTATTTCATTCTTAATGCACTGATTCTCTGTACCTTTGTTACATCCATTTCCTGGGAAGCAAGCTGGTTTTGAATTTCCTCTAGTTGCTTAATAGCTGAAATCTTTTCTCTTATAGCCTTTTCCACCTCGCCTTCCAGTTGGGCAATATTCTGAGACATGATCAACATCTATGAAAGGAAATGAAAGTTGAAAATGATAATGTCACTTGACAGAATACATACTTAAAATACCTTGAATTAGTAGAATCTTAGCAACATCACTGGGCCCTAAAGTCATTTCTCTGTGGATTGGATAGGCCAGCTATGCCCCATGACTTAAATCAGTACTTTGCTCCTATTTATCTTTCTGGTCTCTACCCATGATTTTGCAAAACACGAGGCAAGATAATAAAAATAATTTTTATTTGAAAGCCTAAGGTGAAAAATATCAGACACCTGTATAAGTATGGAGAGAATGGCATGACTAGGAGTTGCTGAAAATCACACAACTCTTAAAACCTTTTCCCACAGGTATGGCATAAAATGATCCACCACACCTTGGAGAGGCAGGCGCTGAAATAGGTGTGAATTCAGCGTTCAATTGAAATCAATGTTTTGTGCTAAGCCATCACGAATGACTTTGCATTCTATAACTAGCTAAAGTTGACATATATGAAAATAACAAGCCTTAAGAGCAATTTCCTAATTTAGATGTTAGGTGTATTCATTATGTTTGCTCTGCACTTATGGAAAATTATATATTAGGCTTATGATTGCTTGAATGTCCTTTTTAAAAAAAGATTGGTTATAAATTTAATTTGAATATAGAACTACTTTCCCTAACACTAAGCTACCAACTCATTTAAGCATCTAATAATCTGAAACTACAACAATTATAACTAAAGTCCAAAGAGGTTACACATGATAAATCAAAAATACTATTTCCTTAACTAAAGTTCAAGTTCAGGGCCCTCCCTGGTGGCGCAGCGGGTTAAAGCGCAGCACTAAGAAGCTAAAGCCACTTCCACATGAGTTCGATTCCCGCCTGCCCTGGAGGTGACCCCCAGGGCGCAGCAGACCCCTCCTGACCCGCCCGCTGCTCCCCTTAGCAGTGGACTTCGTCCATCTGCCTGTTCTGCTCCCCACTATGTCTCTGGTGAATCCTCTCACCACCCTTGTACCTCTGGCCTGTACCCCAGTTCTGTATGCACAAATAAATAGATCTTTAAAAAAAAAAGTTCAAGTTCATAAGTAACTATGTATTAATAGAGCTTTACTGGAACCACACAACAAACTTTAATTAACATTTATCAAGAAATATATTTCTGCAGCAATAAATATTATGGTGAACAGGTGAACGTGGTCTGGTTTTTAAAGTCAATATGCAGACACTTATTTTGCTAATTATAAATTCTGAGTCATTTTCTACAGTGAGCCGTGTGGCAAGTCATACTCCATCCACATGATAACCTCCCTCTGCCGCCCATCACTTCTTTCCTTTGCCCACTAGCTGTCTGTTCCCGCCTGTCACCCACTTCCTAAGGCCGCCCCCTCCTGTTGTCACACCTTCTTTTTCCCCATGCCCACCATCTGGAAGTCAACATTACACTGCAGGAGCTTCTCCATCCACATCTGTTGCAGACACAGAAGTAACACAGACAGCTGCAACACTGCTGGGTGTGCAGGGCGCTGACATCAGATAAGTCCTTTAAACTTTGACGGGGGCAAGCCTGAGACAAGGACACCCAGGATGGGAGGGCTTCCAGAAATTCCTAATTAAAGCGGTCCCTCGGTATACTGCACAAGGCATTAAGCGGTGCTCCCTACAGAGGAGGTACAAGAATTAAGGATTCCAAGTAATTGGTTATTATCAAGGGAATCAACGGAGAAAGTGCTTGCACATATAGGGTGACCAATAAATAAAACACTAATAACTGATAGAAACAACAAATTGAGCAGTTCAGTGCAGCGATGGACCATTACTGAAGATAATAAATTCACAGCAAGTATTATTCATTGGGGAATGAATCAAAGCCTGTCTGGGTAGAAGATATATGAGCCTACGTTTTTCCATGCAAATAAGCTTTTTTTTTTTAAGGGGAGGGGATAATAAAGGAAAGAAAAATCTAAATGTCTCATCAGCATCCCTTATCTTCTAAAGCATGAATGCTCACTCTAGCTCTCACGGCGGAGCAATACTATGATTAATTTTCCAGTCTCCCTGTTAGACCAAGTTGCTGTGCTAGACAGTGTGATGTACATTCGCCCATTTAATCCTCTGGATCAATTTTCCAAGAGGAAAATCCTTTGGGATCATTTTTAGTCGGAAAAAAAAATGAGATTCAGAAAATTAAGTAAGCTCTCTGTGTTGATGCAAGTTAATTAATAAAAATTAAAGCTGGGTTTTATATTCAAATCTGCTTCTACTAACATGAAGGTTCAAGAAATCTATCCAGTAAGGCCACATGCTCTTTCTAATAGAGTAAGAATGAGATAATAGTCACAAGCTAAATTTATTCAATGTCCATTCTAAACTAGGCATTATAATAGAACTTTCAAGACATTTTCTCATTAAACCCTTCAAGTTCTTGAACTACATCAAATTCATTTGTATTCCTTTAAAATTTAGGCAGGTTAAAAAATTGAATTCAACCCTAAACCTTTGTATTAAAAAGTCACTTCCGGCCCTCCCTGGTGGCGCAGCGGGTTAAAGCACTGCACTGAGAAGCTAAAGCCACTTCCGCATGAGTTCGATTCCCGCCTGCCCCGGAGGAGACCACATGGCGTGGCAGACCTCTCCTGGCCCGCCCGCTGCTCCCCTCAGCAGTGTACTTCGTTGATCTGCCTGTTCTGCTCCCCACTCTGTCTCTGGTGAAGTCTCTCACTGCCCCTGAGTCTCTGGCCTGTACCCCAGTTCTGTATGTACAAATAAATAAATCTTTAAAAAAAAAAAAAAAAAGTCACTTCCTGCCATCTGCCTGTGAGACCAGTTGCCTCAGAATTAGGATTACTTTCAGGCTTTCCTCATACACCTTTATTTAGTGTGGGTCCTGCAGAAGAAACATTAGCCGAGTCTAAGTAGGGGTAAAAAGAGGAGTAAACTCAGAAATACACTGTATTTCTGTCACCACATTTCTTCATGAAGTAACTGTCAGTAAAAGAAAGATTGTTTTGGAGTCCAGCAAAACAGCCATAGATGCACGGTTCACTATTCCATACACTCACAACTGCAACACAACAAAACCAATAATCCCCGAAAGAAAAAGGGGTGACTAACTATACATTAGAGCAATGTTCTGGCAGATAGGAGTAGGAAAAATCATTAACTGAATTATGTTCACAGCTATTGTGGGCAGAACCAACCACCGGAGGGAAGAGTGGTTGCTGGTGAACCCAGGACAGTTCAGGGTACACACCCTCCCCATCCTCTACAGGCACTTTGGAGACCGATCACTGTACTGCTAAATGGGGAAACAGAGTTGGCATCTAGAAGCAAAGGTACACTACTGGGTGTCCACAGGAGCAGGCATACAGAGTGACTGCCGATTTGTGCCTGAGGGTCCCAATCCGGAACAGTTATTAAACAGAATCAGAAAAGAAAGGAGAAACTACCACAACTCGCACAGAAATACAAAGGACTGTAGGAGATTATTCTGAGCAACTATATACCAATAAATTGCATAACCCTGAAGAAATGGCCAGATTTCTTAATACTGTCCATCATAACAAAACAAGCAGAAACAGAAGAGTAGAGGAAACGGATCATAAGCATGGAAGTTGGAACAGTAATAAAACAATCTTCTCCACCCAAAAGCTGAGGGGCAGACAGCTTCACAAACAAATTTTATCAAATCTTTAAAGAGCTTATGACCACCTTGCTCAAAATGCTTTTAAAATCCAAGAAGAGGGATCACTAGTACATTTTATGATGCTAACACCACCTTAAAACTGAAGCCAGAAAGAGACAGCACAAAAAAAAGAAACTGATAGATCAATATCTTAATGAACACTGATGCAAAAACCTTCAACAAAATATTAGCAAATCAAAGTCAACAATAGTCCACAGTGATTCTACATCACAGTTATGTGGGACTTATCCCATGGAGAAGAGGATAGTTTAATATACATAAATCAACATAATATATTAACAAAAGAAAAGGTATGTATCATATGATAAGATACAGCATATCAAATGCAGAGGAAGCATCTGATAGGATTCAGCTGTGATTTATGATGAAAACTAGATAAAATGGGAACAGAAGTAAACTACCTTAATATAGTAAACATCATATATTACAAACCAATGGCCAACCAATCATTTAATGATGGAAACCTGAATGCTTTCCCCTTAATATAAAGGATTAGGGTGCTCCTGTCAACCACTCCTGTTTAACTTAATTGTAAAGGTTTTGGACAAGGCAATCAGAAAAAAAAAAACAGGAAATAAAAAAATCCAAGTTGTAAAAAGAAAAAAAAAAGTCAGACTACTGCTATTTGAAGGCAATATGGTATTATACATAGGAAACACTAAAGATTCTACCAAAAAAAAAAAAAAATACATAAATAGAGCAAGGTGGCAGCACACAAAATAAACATGCAAAACCTACAGAATTTTTATGTACAAAAAATGAATGTGAAGAAAATCGTTCCATTTGCTATTGCTTCACTTTAGAAAGATCATTCTGACTGTGGTTAGAAAACAGATTGGGGTCACCCCAAATGGGGGTGGCACAGAGATTAAAGACAGTGCTATACAGCTACTACCAGCCATCACAGCACGGTGATCCCTCGCCAGGGAGTGACCCATGTGGTGCAGCAGACCTCTCCTGTCTTGCCTGCTGCTTCCCTCAGCAGTGTGCTTCAGTAGATACACCTGTTATGCTCCCCATTCTGTCTCTGCTGAATCCTCTCACCCCCTGCACCTCTGGCCTGAACCCCAGTTTTTGTATGCATAAATAAATCTGTAAAAAGAAAGAAAGAAAAGAAACGGGAGGGAGGTGAGACTGGAAGCAACAAGATCACTGTGGTTCTGGGAACCATTCAGTGGTAAGATATGGGTAGCATCATGAGGGAGAGACAGGCAAGTGTAAAATTTTAGTGACCTGACTCTCTAGAATCAGGTGACATGTTGGGCAACTGATTCCATTGGGAGAGGGATGATGGGAGTGGTTGAGCACTCACTAGATGGCTAACGATTTAGATGTCAATACCGTATAGGATTAAAGCCACTATAGTGGCTAAAGAGATCACAATTCATAATTCTCTGATAAATTCCAGAACCTTCTTCCTCTCTCATTGTCTCAAAGGCACTTTAAACTCACAGCAACATAAAGACAAGTATAATCATTCATTCCTCCAAATCAATAACATAGAAGCAGGAAATTAAGAAAGAGAACAATTTTAAGAATATGAACTTAAAAATAGTCACTAAATGGCCCTCCTGGTGGCGCAGCGGGTTAAAGCGCAGCACTGAGAAGCTAAAGCCGCTTCCGCATGAGTTCGATCCCCGCCTGCCCCGGAGGTGACCACATGGCGCGGGAGACCTCTCCTTACCCGCTCACTGCTCTCCTCAGCAGTGTGCTTCATCCATCTGCCTGTTCTGCTCCCCACTCTGTCTCTGGTGAAGTCTTTCACCACCCCTGAGTCTCTGGCATGTACCCCAGTTCTGTATGCACAAATAAATAAATCTTAAAAAAAAAAAAAAAGAAAAAAAAAAAAAACCTCATCTGTTTTGAAAAAAAAAAGTCACTAAATATGGCAAAAGAAGGTCTTCAGTGAACATAGAAATGATAATTAAGTTTCTGGCTATGGACAAAAATGTTGAAATGCAGAGGAATGAAGAGTGAATAGGAGGTAAGAAAACAAAGCTAAGTATGGACATCTTTCAATGACTTTAGAAGGAAGAGTGGGCAGGGATTCTGGGTCTCCTGGGTGGTTTCCAAGCTTGGCTGTACACTGGAATCACCTGGACAACTTAAACTGATACCTGGACCCGGACCTACCCTAAGATATTTTGATGCAATTTGTTTGGAATGTCAATGAGGTAATGCTATTTTTCTGACATCTGGTTAGCCAAGATGGAGAACTAATAGATCAGAAGAAAGACCCTTCTTTAAACATGTGAAAGCACTTTTCTTATCATAAGAGGCTGTATGATGGAAAGATTAAAGATTCAGAGGAAATAAGTCCCTGAGGTCATGGAAGAGGTTGGGTTCCAGAGCAAGCAGAGAAGACTAACATTAAACCCCTCCCATTCTGACAGGGTTAGGATGCAGGGAACATTTTATTTTAAGGCAGAGATGAGGTAAAGCTAAGTAGTTGAGGTGAGGACCACCTAAAAGTTTCCATTTTCTTTGTTAGGTAAGTGAGGCTTTCTGCTGAGAATGAGAGGAAAAGCAACCATGCAGGGAATAAAAAGGAGAATAAAAGTTTAAAATGTCTTTAAAAAATGGTTGCAACCCCCTATGTTTATTGCTGCTTTGCAATAGGAAAGACATGGAATCAACCCAAATGCCCAAAAGTAGATGACTGGAGTAAAAAGATGGGGTACAAATACACAATGGAATATTACTCAGCAATCAAAAAAGATAAACACATGCCTTTTGTGGCAACATGGATGGAGCTGGAAGGGATCATGCTGAGTGAGATAAGCCAGAAAGAAAAGGAAAAATACTGGATGGTTTCACTCATAGCAGGGCATAAAGGGCCAGGGAAAATAATGAACAACTATATACCAGAGACATTTTATGGGGTGGAGTGGGGAATGGGATCAGAAATGGAGGAGAGGGGGAAGTGATGGGACTATGGTGATGGCACACAGGTGAACTGGTGATGGGATGTCCACGGGGATGATAGCTGAGATGGAAAAGGCACAAAATGATGTAAAAATAAAAAAATTTAAAAAAGAAAAGATAAATCAATAGATAAATAAATAATAAATACAAAAATAATATGGTCGCGACATTCCATCACTTCCTACCTAGAATGCTATTATTATCTCCCATCGGATCTTAGACACTTAATCTGTTTTCCTCGAAATCACCTATTAATGAATCATTTTTCTCAATTACAAGTGGCATCATGACACTGCCCAGCTTAATGCAATCCAGGGGTTTTCCATCACTTTCGCTACACGATTTAAAATTCCTCACATGAGCTTTAGGCAGTGCATGACTTGGTCTTTGTCTGCTTCTCTGAAGTTACATTCCACCATGCTGTCCCCTGACGAGGTTTTAAAATGTGAAATTCATTCAAGAATTGCAACTAAAAAAGTCATTAATAACATTACCACAAACATTTTTTTCTGCGAGGTGGGAAACACCCTAAATTCTTTAGTACCTTGACGCCCATATCCTCCCTTTCTTTTGTTATTTCTTTCTTCAGCATCTCTTTCTCAAAGGCCCTTTTCTCTTGCTGCGATGCAAGTTCTTTTTTAAGTCGCTCTGTCTGTCTCTCGAGTTCCTTCTTCAACTGTTCACACTGGATTAAAGCCTGCAAAGTAAAACAGAGTGAAGTGGGAGCTAGGAATTTGGGGGAAAATGAGAGCAATGAAGCCTTATTTGAATTAAAACTGTTAAAACTTGCCACAATGTCCATTGGAAAAATTTTATCTTCGTCAACACCACTCACTGATCTAAAACATGATTCAAAGGTTATATTTATTTGCTACATGTTCACTTTTCATAATTAGGGAGGTATTAACTAATCAACTAAGAAAATTCAGGTAATGGACCTCGATGAGAGCCACAGATAAATCAGAATTTTGAGGGCCCTCCCTGGTGGTGCAGCAGGTTAAAGCGCAGCACTAAGAAGCTAAAGCCTCTTCAGCACGAGTTTGATCCCCACCTGCCCCGGAGGTGACCCACAGGGCGCGGCAGACCTCTCCTGACCCGCCCGCTGCTCCCCTCAGCAGAGTGTTTCAGACCATCTGCCTGTTCTGCTCCCCACTGTGTCTCTGGTGAATCCTCTCACTGCCCCTGCACCTCTGGCCTGTACCCCAATTCTGTATGCACAAATAATTAAATCTTAAAATAAGGTAAATAAATCAGAATTTTGAAAAGGGATCAGAAAAATGAAGTATTCTAATATTTCAATGATGTATATGTTTATGCTACACGAAACACATAAGTATCCAATTTAACTGAATTTTTATTTTCTCAATATTTGAGTACTTTAAATGATAGTGATCAAAACTTTAAAATGAAATAGTAACTGTATCATAAAATACAGGCATCTATTTTAGTATTATGTAATATGTAAATATGTCCAAATATATAGTTATAATACCAATTAAGTTCACTCCCTTTACAAATGTAACTAAAGTAAAAATTAGGTAATAATCAAATGTTTAGATAAGGAAAGACTCAAAACAACATTTCCTACCTACTGTGAAAAATGAGAAGTTTTCATCTGCCATTTCTAATCATTTAAAGGTCCTAATTGGCTTGTACTCTGAATTTTCTGTTCTATGTCTGCATAAAAAAAAAACCAAAAAGAAACAAAAAAAAACCCTCCAACTTCCTTTTGATGAAATTGACAATAATTTAATAATAAATGGCCACTTGAAAATCACAATTATAAACAAAAATCCCATCAAATTAAGGTACTTGCGGACCATGTGAGCCAAGATGAGCTAGGCCATTTCTCTGGTCTTATTGTCCACACTGTCTACCTCCACAATCTCAACAAGCCTCTATGTTTCCCTTGAATTGGCAGAAAGAAAGCCAAGTCTCACAAGACTTACATACTGTGTGGTTACAAATTCCACAGCCACGAGTGTCGCCCTCAGAGATGCAAGCGCTTAGTTAAGTGCTGTGTTTTATGCACAGCTGTGCTTCCGTCTGGTGAAGGCTATAATAAATACAGACAATAAATCTGGGATATGGAAGTGTTCCTTCTTCATCTGGTAGGCATTAAACCCAAATTCCTCTAACTCTTCTTGAAAGGTTCTGTATCACTAGACATGAGGAACATGGGGTAGGAGGTTTTAAAATTCAATTGTCTCAGATAAACTTAAAAGCAAAAACAAGGAAAAGAAATGATTCTCTTAGAGAGTCAGTCCCAAGTCCAATTCCGGTACTTAAGTAGACTTTAAAAGAGATGACCAGCATACTTTTTCCTTAATTTTAGTCCTTGGAAATTGAAATAGGAATTAAAGACTTGGGACTTTTAAAATACAATTGTTTTTATGAAAAACATTTGATATGAACATACTAAAAGTGTTCATAAATTTCACTGCTATAATGAATACTACTGGTATGAAAGAATAAAATGAGTACTGAATATGCAGTCAGAAGGTTCTAACAGAACATAAATTCAAGTGACAACACTGTTAGGGATAGGAACAGTAGAACGGGCTGCTGAAGATCTAAAGATCAGGGTAAGGGGCTCCCTGGTGGCACAACAGGTTAGAGCGCAGCATTATGAAGCCGTCGGCAGCCGCTGCAGCGCGGGTTCCATCCCGGCCAGGGAGTGACCACATGGCAAGCAGACCGCTCCTGCCTCCCCACTGCCCCCTCAGCAGTGGGTTTCACTCTGCCTGTTCTGCTCCCCAGTCTGTCTCCTGTGACCCCTCTCACACCCACCCACACCTCTCTGGCTTGTACCCCAGTTCTTAAGTTCATAAATAAAACTTTAAAAAAATAAATAAAGATCAGGTAATACGGAGAGTAAAGGGGATCAATTCAAAGAATTCAATCAAGAACAAAGACAATAGATGATCCTGACTGGATAAGAGGCTTACTGCCAAGACAAGATAATATAAAGAAAAAAGTGTAAAAGCAAGAAATTATAAATCGCTAAACAAATCTATTCCTGAAATCTTAGTTTTGTGCGACTAATGAATGACAGTAAATGAAATTCAAGAAAGAAAACTGATAAAAAATGTTACATTTTTTTTAAATGAGGCTTGGTATATAACTAATGATTCCTTATAAATTAACTTTTCTTTCTATACCCACTCACAATGAAGAAAATCTCAAGGCTTAATCACAGAATTAGAAAAGCAACTTGATCATTTTAAGACCTCTTTCTTACAATGGACCTCGTAATCTGGAAGGCAAATACTTATACATTATTTCCACTAAGTTCCAGCGCTCCCTTTCTGAGAGTCCAGCGGTCAAGCTGACTCAGGACCTCCTGATGGTAGTTACTGGAGAACTCAGCAAAGTCATAATTGAATTCTCAAAGGTGGGGCGAGGAGCTGGGCAATCACAACTAACGGCTAGATCTTCACAGGTGGCCATTAACTGTGGGCCTGCAGCTGTCATTTCGCCCAGCCGTTTCCAAGATGGCCGCTGTCCCCCTGACCTTTCTTGGTGGGAATAGAAGAAGCCCTCAGGCGGCCCTCCCTGGTGGCCAATGGGTTAGGGAGCAGCACTGCAAACGTGCCCAAGGCCCCTTCAGTACAAGTTCAATCCCCAGCCGCGGAGGTGACCCACAGGGTGTGGCAGACCTCTCCTGACCTCTCCTGCTCCCCTCAGCAGTGGACTCCACTGACCCGCCTGTTCTGTTCCCCATTTTGTCTCTGGTGAGCCCAGCTCTGTATGCATAAATAAATTTTTTTTTTTTAAAAAGTAGATCTTAGGAAACAGGAATTCCACTTTTCTCCCACCCAATATGCTCATTTTTCAAAGGACCTTTTTCTGAGCAATTCCTTTATTTATGGTCATCTTATGCTGGCCACATTAACACATTTTAAAAAACATTCTTTATGGAACTTGATAGTCCTACGCCTAGTTTTATTAAATCAAAGTGTGCATTAGTATCTTAATGGGTTCAAAGCATTTTCTAAAACAAATTTATATCTAGTTAGCTCAGTTTTTAAAATAGGAAACCTACATTAGAAAATATAAAAGTCCTCAAAAATGCTAGGATTAGGTTTCTAGAAATCCTTGTGATACAGTTCATGATGAAAGAATTGAAGAGTTTATGAGAAACAGAGTTCATACTTAGGCACACAAATTTTAAAACTTATAAAAATGTTTTTATGTTTACAAAATGAAGCCCACAGAATAAAAATGACTATGGACACATTGTAAGCACTTATTTATAATGCAAACAATTTTTAATTTATAAAAAACTTACTAGAAACTTTGTCTATCCCTAAATCGTGGTTTCAGTGTATTTATGATTTGTGAACTTTTTGACTGTGCCTGCAATAAAATATTCAATGCCTTTTTAATTTTCTTTTTAATTCAAGTTTCTAATTTTTGACCCTATTTTGCTGTACTGCAAGCAAAGAACGAGATTTACAACTACAAAGGGAAACTGTTTGGGGGATATTTGTTCAATCTATTCACTGGATTGCTATATCAAAGATAATTTTTAGCAAGTTATCGTATTATAGAAAGGCTCAAGGTAACTTCATGTTATAGACAATGATTTTCCTTCAAATAGAAACAGGCAGGTCTAAGGCCTTGATAACACTTTCATCTTGTAGTTTTTCTAAGACATCACTGTAAAAGCCTTTATTTTGCAATTGTCATTTCCAGGTTATTTTTTCCTTTTTGAAAGTTATTGCCAATTGTAATAACTCATAATTTTCAAATAAAATAAAAATATTTATTGAACATTTACTATGTATCAGATACGTCTACAATAGCTTGTAAGCATTCGATTATTTAACACCCTCACTAAAATTTTTATTTATTTATGCACACAGAACTGGGATACAGGCCAGAGGCACAGGGATGGTGAGAGGCTTCCCCAGAGACAGAGCGGGGAGCAGGACAGGCAGATCGACGAAGCACACTGCTGAGGGGAGCAGCGGGCGGGTCGGGAGAGGTCTGCCACGCCCTGGGGGTCAAATCTGGGGCAGGCGGGGATCGAACTCACACACTGAGGAGGCGGTGGCTCACTTGCAGTGCTGCGTCCTAACCTGCTGCACCTCCAGGGGCCCAACACCCTCACTAAAATTTAAGTAGTTCTTACTCAGTTAAAAAAAAAAAAATGAGGTTGAACCGTCCAGATCACAAACCTAGAAAGTGGCAAAGCACAGTTATCCACAACTGAATGTATACAGTCATTAGACTTTCCTAAAGTAACAGATTGATTTCATTATAAAACCCTAAGATGTCCTCGCTGCCACAATAAACGTAGACAACTGCAGTTTTCTCCTCATTCAGTATGCAATGTGCAAAACACAACACTAGATGGCAACAAAGGCCAGGGAACTGTAAAAACCAAGTCACCATTTGATTTCATAGCCCTAAATAGTTGATTTTTTAAAATTAATTTAACATGCCAACTTTTCACACCCAGAAACAAAAAAAAGCTCATGTTTCATTGTATCTTGGAAATAAAAACTATGAGACCTACAAATCCACTAGATTAGACTCCACGTTGTGGAGGACGCCACGTTGACTGCTCGCAGGCTTTCCAGCAGCTCTCCTCTGCGCTCTCAGCTTCATGCAGCACCGAGAGCTACGTCATGGAAGGCCTGGGAATGGGGCCGGTCAAGGCCCAGTGCAATTCCTGCATAGGCTTACGGA